CTGTGCGGAGCTGGACGAAGGCACACACACACACACACACTTGCGTCGCGGCCTCGTGCAGAGCGTCGAGGCGTAAAAGGTGGAAAACAGCAACAGCGCGCGCGTCTCATCGCCCGAGTCACTCAACTTGTAGCACATGTCCTGAGGATCCAGATGTCTCCCATCTGGGTCCGAGCAGATGGGGTCGGAGGTTCGCGCCGCATCGCCGATGCATCCGCGATACGTCGGCGCCGTAGGCGTGGAGAGCATCGGGCTCCACATCGAGCCGCATCGTCGACACATCGTCGATGCGGAGCGATCCGTCGGCCTCCTCTGCTCGACCCCACTTGGGATGCCTAGAAGGACACGGGACGGGCCAGCATCGAGTCGGGGACTCGGATCGGATCGGAACGTGCGGCGACAGCCTGGCGGCGGAGATCGTCACAGAGACAACGGTCCACGCGGCGGCAGAAGCCAGAGCCCTGGCCGTCGCGGCAGGAGCCTGCCGTGGCAGGGTCGCCCGCGCGCGTGCGAGGATTGCTTCGCCTCGTGCCTCGCGGTCTGGACCAGGGAGGTTTTTTTTTTTTTTTTTTTTTTTTTTTTTTTTTTTTTTCTAGGAGGGGCGGCGCGAGATCGTGCAGACAAGTGCGCTTCGCGCGGCGCACATCGACTCCACGTGTATAGGTGCAAGTGTGTACATGTATGTACGTATGTGCGCCTGCATGTACGTACGTATGTACGTATGACCCCCTTGTCCGCATATACGTATCTATAGATATTACATGAACGCGTGTATACCTATGTACGGATGTACGTATGCATGCGTGTACGCATGCATGTATGTACGTGCGCATTTATGTATGTCTGTGTGTAGGTGTGTATGTTTGCATACATGCAAAGCCATGTCTTGTAAAGGGATGTAATATAATGTGAGGTAGTGTGGCGTAGTGTAACTAACTGTAATAGAATGCAATGCGATGGAATGTAATACAATGCACTTCATCGAAATGTAATGGATGTGGTGCACGGCCATATAATGTCATGTGATGTGACGTGGTGCAATGCATCGTACATTGCTGTGCTTTAATGTGATGCACTTTGGTGTACTATGATATAGGGTGATTCGCTGCGATATGTTGTGCTGTGATACGCTGTGATGTGATGCTGTGGAATGTAGTGTCATGCGATGCAATGTAATGTAATTTCTGGTACTGTAGTGTAATGCAATGTGATGTAATCTAAGGTAACGTAATGCAAGGCACTGTACTGTAATGCAGAGTAGTGTGAGTTTCGGACATTCAATGTGATGTGATGTAGCGCGATGTATTGTACCACTGGAATGTAACATACTGTAATGTCGTGTGATGTAGTGTAGTGTAATGTAGTGTAATGTGAAGTACTGTTTTGTCATGGAATGTAATGGAATGTCACATAGTGTAGTTTAACGGGACGTGGTTTAATGCATGGTAATGTAATGCAATGTAAAATTTTAAAGGTAGGGTAAGGTATGCAATGTAATGCAATGCAAGGACATGTCATGCCGTGTCATATCATGTAATGCCATGTAATGTATTGGAATGTAATGTAATGTCTTGTATTGTAATGCCATGTAATACAAAGCATGTGTGCGTGCATGCATGCATGCATTGCATGTGTGCATGCATGCATGTATGTATGCATGCACGTATGTATGCATGTATGCCTCTCTTTATGCCATCTGCTCACAGCAGTCCCTGAAGCCGGACCTGCGCCACACGTTGGCATGTCCAGGGTGGGAGTCGGTGGACAGTTTCTTTCTCCTGCCCGAAGAGCAGAGGGCATACACCTTTTGTCGTCGATTTCGAGCGCAGTGGTTGCCAGGCGCCGTCAGAAGCAGAATGTCCAGCACTGGTAGGGTGCACCGACACACTCTTCAATCATGTGGCCTTCTGGGCCTGGCAAGGAGGCGCGCGCGCACCTCGCGGACGTTGGGCCCGTGGCGGAGAAGATGCGGCGCAAGGTCCAGGCGCGCGCCGACCTGGAGGTGGTCAGGGCCGAGCTCCGCCAGAGGCTGCCCGGCGCCCCAGAGGAGCCCGTGAAGGTCGCTCAGGAGGTGTCAGGCGCGGCCAATGAGGGGGGTGATGACTGGGGGGTGGTTGTGGATATCACGGCGGGGGTCATGATATTTCCGCAGGTTTAAGGGCGCCTCTTCTTGTTTCAACACGTCCACCGGCCCCCCTCTGGGCCGCGCACGTGTCGCCGGCCATGATTTGCGCTCACCCTGATGGGCCTGTTTTCCACCACCTCCACCACCGTAAGTTGGAGTGGGGAAGGAGGTGGAGGATGAGGATGAGGATGAGGATGAGGATGAGGATGAGGAGGAGGAGGAGGAGGAGGAGAGGCAGGAGGAGGAGGAGGAGGAGGAGGAGGAGGAGGAGAGGAGGAGGAGGAGGAGGAGGAGGAGAGGAGGATCCCCTCCCCCTCCTACTTACGGTGGTGGCGGTGGGAAACAAGCCCCCCCCCCCCCCCCTCTTGGACGCCCCCCTCTGGGCCGCCCCCGGAGGTGGTGGACGCTGGCGGGGAGGGCGCGGCCGTGCTGCAGCCGATCCTGGACAGGGCGCTCGAGCTCGAGGGCGTCGCGACGTATGGTGCAAAGATGGTGGAGAAGGTTCAGGCCCTCCTCCTCCTCCTCCTCCTCCTCCTCCTCCTCCTCCTCCTCCTCCTCCTCCCTCCTCCTCCTCCTCCTCCTCCTCCTCTCCCTCCTCCTCCTCCTTTTCCTCCTCCTCCTCCTCCCCATCCTCCTCCTCCTCCTCCTCCTCCTTCTCCTCGTCCTCCTTAGGTCGCAAATCAGGAGCCTTGTGCGCCCTTGAAGTTCCGTCTCTGGAGTGTATTCGCGTGCACTGGCGTCGGTTAGTCGATGGGAAGGCGACGGTTCTGCGCCGAGTGGAGTCGATTCAGCGTCGACTAGGCGTCGATTCGCGTCGTCGATTCGCTAGAGCCGGCAAGATGGCATGGCAGGCTCCCATTCGGGGGTTTATAGAAGCGCCCCTGGTCCAAGGTGCCCCCCGGATTTCCAAGGAGGCCCCCACGGCCTCCAGAGCACCCCTCACGAGGCCCAGAGGGCCCCAGGGCTTCAGACAATCAGCGAAACATCAGGGGCACCTTGGTAGGGGGCCACACGAGGCCACACGAACCATACCCCTACCCCCCACGATTTCTTAGGGGGAGGGTGGGGTTCATTTCATTCGGGAGCTCCCGAGCGAAGTGAAACCCACCCTCCCCCTCAGAAATCGTGGGCGGTAGGGGCAGGGTTTGCACGTGGCCCCCCTACTTGGGCCAGGGGCACCTTCAGCACCCCCCTCCTCTCCTCCTCCTCCTCCTCTCCTCCCCTCCTCCTCCTCCTCCTCCTCCTCCTCCTCCTCCTCCTCCTCCTCCTCCTACTCCTCCTCCTCCTCCTCCTCCTCCCCCTCCTCCTCCTCGAGCAGGACCTGCTCGCGAGGCTCGACGCCGCCGCCCGCGGCCTCGACGCCCAGGCGGCGCCGTTCCTCGACGCGGCGGTCGCGGCCGCCGACGCCGCGGAGGCCGCGGGGCGGGCGGCCCGGGAGGCTGCCGCCCGGGAGGCGGCCGAGCGGGAGGCCCGCAGGGCGGAGGAGCAGGCCAGGAGCGCCGAGGAGGAAATCGCACCACCCCAGCATACTACTATTCAGTCGGGCCTGTCCTCCTACAGGGGGAGTATTCAAAGACAGTCAAGAAAATGGTCGGGGGCTATTTTTGGAGTATGTTTGGACCACTTTGGGGCTTTTTTAAAGCTATTTATAATTTGTGGGAGGAGGAGGAGGAGGAGGAGGAGGAGGAGGAGGAGGAGGAGGAGGAGGAGGAGGAGGAGGAGGAGGAGGAGGAGGAAGGATGAGGAGGAGGAGGAGAGGAGGAGGGAGGAGGAGGGGAGGAGGAGGAGCGCCCCCCCCCTCCCCCAGGAGCGCGGTGAACTCCCTGAAGGAGGAGGCCGCGCAGCGCCTGCAGGAGCAGCGCGAGGCCGAGGAGGCCGAGGCGAGGCGGCACGCCGAGGAGCGGGCCGCCGAGGCGCGGGCCGCCGCCGCCCGGGTCGCGGAGGACGAGGTGCTCCGCAGGGCCGAGGCGGACGGCGAGCTGCGGCTCGCGGAGGTGGGCCCCGACGCCGCGTGCGGGGAGGCGCGCCCCGGGGAGGAAAAGGCGCCCATGCCGCCACGTCTCCCTGGCTCTCTCTCTCTCTCTCTCTCTCTCTTTTTTGGGGCCTCCTGGGAGGCCCTCGTCGTCTCCTCTGGGTTCGCCTCGAACTTGCTGGTCAGACCTAGCCCTGGGAGAGGCCCGGGGAGTAGCGGCAGCGGTACCTTTGGCCTCCCCAGGCGCTGGCGGCCATGCTGGCTTGCCCAGTGGGCGCCTACAGGGAGGCCGTAGAGGCCCGACGGTCCCTGGGATCTTCAGATGGCGTCGGAGCACGTGGGGTCGGAGGATCGCGCCGCATCGCCGAGGAACCGGCGATGGGGCTCGATGTGGAGCCTGATGTGCTCCACGCCTACGTCGCCGACGCATCGCCGATGTATCGCCTACGTATCGGCGATGCGGCGTGGTCCTGCGACCCCATCTGCTTGGATGCCCCTAGATCCTCGGGAAGTATGTTATCCCAGTGTGTGTGTGTGTGTGTGTGTGAATGTGTGTGTGTGTGTGTGTGTGTGTGTTTGAATGTGTGTGTGTGTGTGTTTGTGTGTGTGTGTGTGCGCGACCTCGTTCAGCTCCGCCAGCAGCACGCAGCCTGTGCTGGCCCTCGCCACGCCGCCCACGTCGCATGCCGAGGGGCTCCCCGTCCATAAGCCCGCGCTGGCGCCACAGCGCCTGCTCGGAGCATCCTCGAGAGGCACTCGGCGGCATGTTCGCCAGCATCGCCGGGGAGCCGCAGGAGGCGCGGCTGCGGGTGATCCGTGCGGGCAACAGCGGCTTCCAGGAGAGCCTCGGGCGGCGGCCGGGCGTCTGGCTGTTCCTCCGCGGCGCGGGCTTCGAGCCGCTGGCGCGCGAGGCGCTCCCGGCCGGGCTGCTGGCCTCCATCGGCCTGGGCCCCGGGCCGCCCTCCGAGCGCTTCCTGCTGCTGAGAGAGCCGGACATGATGGGCGAGTACGAGACGTGCGGGAGGGAGCTCAACAGTCGGGGGAGGCTGGCCACGCGCAGAAGGGGGGTTAGGGGGAGGGGGGAAGGCTTCTTAGGAGCACCCCTGCTTCTTAGAAGGCGCGGGCCTTCTTTGTAGATGTAGGGCCGGCGCCTTCTAAGAAGCAGCCTCCTTCTAAGAAGCCTTCCCCCCTCCCCCTACCCCCTTGTGCGCGCCGCCAAGGAGGGCGAGCCGAGACGGTGCGGGCCCCCGGGGGGGCTCTCTCTCGTCGCCGCGGCGGGGCGCAGCTCAGCAAGCTGGTGCGTCCGGGCCCTGGGAGGGGCCTGGGGGCCAAGTTTGAGCCGCCGTTGTCTCTCTTCCCCCTGCCCCGAGCAAGCATCAGTGGCACGCTGCCCAGGGGGCCCGTTGGCGTCTTGCGGGTGCTCTTGTCCGGCTGCCCGGTGCCTCCTCGGCAGTATAACGCTCGGCGGATGGGCCCCCCGCGGCAGCGTGCCGTCGATGCTGCCCCTGCTCCCCCGGACCCAGACGTGCGAGGTCTCATTTCTCCCACAGCTCCCACCCCGAGTTGCTGCTCTGCGGCCCCGTGGGCCCAGCGAGGGCCTCCAGCGGCCGATCATGGCCCCAAACTTCCCGTCGTGCTTCTGCTCGCGACTCGAGCATGTCTGGGGAGGTGGCTGGCGTGGCACGAGCGCTTGCGCTCCATCGCCGGCTTCCTCTGGTGGGCCAGTTTTTCACCACCACTACCACAGGTAGAACGAGGGAGAAGGGAGGTCCTCCTCCCTCCTCCTCCTCCTCCTCCTCCTCCTCCTCTTCCCCTTCCTCCTCCTCCTTCTCCTCCTCCTCCTCCTCCTCCTCCTCTTCCTACCTGTGGTAGGTGGTGGAACATCGGCCCATCATCCTCGGCTCCCTGGCGGAGCTGGCGCTGCGGCGCTCGGCGCACCTGGGGCAGGCTGGGCTCGACGTGCCAGCGCAGGGTCTGCTGCGGGCCTCCGAGGTGGTGCAGCGCTGGGAGGCGTGCCGCGGGGGCGGCTGAGGCCGCTGCTTGCCGCGAGGCCACGCCGCGCGCCGATCATCGAAGGAGGATGAGGAGGAGGGGGACAAATATGAATGTTATTAAGAACCATAAGAACACGAAAACTAATACAATATAAGTAATGCTACGGATATCATTAATAACAGTACTAACACAATTATGCAGGAAGAAATAACAATATTAATAATCAGGCAAGCCAATATAGTAATACTATTATTCATATTCATCATCATGTGAGCAGTAAGAAGACTTATACGACGAATGATAAGTAGAAGAGGAGGGGGATGATGAGGAGGAGAAGGAGGAGGAGAACAAGGATGAGGAGGAGGAGGAGGAGGAGGAGGAGGAGGAGGAGGAGGAAACAAACAACAAATGGCATGACCATAAACTTTTTGGCGCTCCGCGCGGACTCCTTGGATCGGTGCCTCCAGCGGCGCCCCCGGCGCGCCCCGCGCGCCAGAGAGGGGGGCCTGGCGCGGATCCAAGAGATCCACGCGGAGCGCCAAACGTTTATGTTTATGCTGCTTTTTGTTCCTCCAGATCAGCCGCCCTCGATAGGAGGAAAACGTATCAATACCGCTACCTTTCGCCCGTTTTCCCCTTTTTGGTCCTCTTGGGAGGCCCTTGTCGGCCACCGCTGGGTTCGCCTCGAACCTCGAACTTCTGGTCAGAGCGCACCCCGGGAGAGGTCGGGGGAGTAGCGGTATCCGTACCTTTTGGTTTCCCCAGATCCCCCAGCCCTGCCAACCCACCCCCCCAAGGTTGGGCCAGGCCCCGCGAGACCCGAGGGGAGCAGCATATATCCCTGCCTGGGAGGTGCAGACAGCCAGTAGGGCCAGGGCCATGCCGGTGGGGATGGGGACATCGTGAAACGATGCTCAGGCGGAGTAGGAGGAGGCGAGTTCAGGAGGAGGAGGAGGAGGAGGAGGAGGGAGGCGGAGGAGCCGAGGAGAATCGGTGCAAGCGCCTGGGACGCAGTCGGCGCCCTGCTATCCTTCTCTTCCCTCCTCCCTCCTCCTCCTCCTCCTCCTCCTCCTCCTCCTCCTCCTCCTCCTCCTCGGTGCTCGGTGCCGCACTGGGGCGGGTGTCATACGAAGACCTCCTCCTCCTCCTCCTCCTCCTCCTCCTCCTCCTCCTCCTCCTCCTCCTCCTCTCCTCTTCCTCCTCCTCCTCCTCCTCCTCCTCCTCCTCTCCTCCTCCACTTCCCCCACTCGTTCTCCGCCCGCCTCCCCTCCTCCCTTCCCTCGTCACAGCCTGGCGCCCCCGGAGGCGGAGCTGGGGTCTGCGGCGCGCGGTGGCAGAGCTGGCGCGCGCGGGGCACCCCTGGCCCGCTCCGAGTCGGGGCGCCCGAAGCTGGGACGGCGCGAGCCAGGACCCGTGTCTCCGAGGAGGAAAAGGTACTTTGGCAAGGGCGCCCTCGAGGGCGCGAAGTTATTCGCGCTTCGCGCTTCGCGGTCCTCGTTCCTTCTCCCCCTCCTCCTCGTCCTCCTATTCTCCCTTTGGGAGGGCGGCGCGAGAGCGCGAAGTTATTCGCACTTCGCGCTTCGCGCAGCGCGAAGCGCGAAGTTGGGAGCCCTTATTTGGGTCTCTCAATCAGCATCGGGCTCGCGGCTTCTCAATCACCGTTCACCCACAGGGCCCTGGCTTTGCTCTTTTTGTCGCTGGCGCGCCCCATGGCCGCGACGGCCGCTTGCTTGCGCACAGGCGCCATGCGCCTGCCCTTAGGTCGGGCATGTCCCTCCACAGGAGGGATCGTCAACAGCAGTACAACATTCTCCGAGTTTCTCAAGCGTCGGGGGGGGCGTCACCCCCGCCGACAGCCCCGCATCGACCCCCGTCGCGGGTGGCCACCGCGCGCCGAAGGCGCTCCGACCCCCGTGGCGGCGCGACGACGAGGCGAGGCGGACCCCCGTCGGGGGGTACCTCCCACGCTCATTAAGAAACTCAAAATACCCATACCGCTACCCTTCCCTCGTCTTATGATGTTCAAACCTAGAACCTGGAACCTCCCATGGCCCCGAATGCTAAACATCCCAATGACTTCACAGGGATCGCGACGTCATGGACGCCGAAACCTTGTGATTGCATTGGGGTGCTTGGGGTTTCTGGAGTGCTAGCCCTACAATTTATAAGACTTTCTCGTTGTGCTTGGGATTCCTGGGATTTTTCACCGCTCCAACAAAAATCTACCCTGGAGCACCCCCAAGGCTCCGAATGCCAAGCGTCCAAGTGAATTCACAGGGCTCGCGACGTAAGGGAAGCCGAAACCTTGTGATTCCATAGGGATGCCTAGGATTTCTTTGGGTGCAAATCCCAGAAACAATTATCGGGATGCTTGGGATTCCTGCGATCTCGATCAGTCCAGCAAAAAGCTTGGCGCCCCCCGTGGCTCCGGCTGCCAAGCGTCCAAGTGATGCCACCTCAGGGGAACCCATATTTTGCGATTTCATTGGGGTGCTTGGGAGTTCTGGGGTGCCAATCCAAGAAGCCATATGATCTCACTTGGATGCTTGGGGTTTCCAGGGTTCCCCCCCCAGACAAAACATATACCTTGGAGCCTCCAGGATTCAGAGCCCCAGGCATCCCAGGAGTCCCAAGCATCCCAGTGACATCACATGGCTTCTGGGATTAGCAACCCAAGAATCTTCAGCATCCCAGTGAACTCACAAGGTTTGGGCTTAGCCTTGTGCATTCACATGGATGCTTGCCATTCGGAACCCTGGGGGTCTCCAGATTTTTTTGTTGGTGCACGGGGGGGGGGATCCCATGAAACCCAGAAGCGTCCCAGTGAATTCGTACGGGTTTTGGCATCAGCACCCCAGAATCCCAAGCATCCGAGTTCGACCACAGGTTTTCGGCGTCCCGGACGTCGCGTGCCCTGTGAATTCACTTGGACGCTTGGCATTCGGAGCCTTGGAGGTGCTCCAGGGTAGATTTTTGTTGGAGCGGTGACGATAAAGTCATATGAATTGTAAGGCTAGCACCCCAGAAACCCCAAGCACCCCAATGCAATCACAAGGTTTCGGCTTCCCTGACGTCGCGAGCCCTGTGAAGTCATTGGGGTGTTTGGCATTCGGGGCCATGGGGGGTTCCAGGGATCCCAAGCACAACGAGAAAGTCGCATGGACTGTAGGCTTAATACCCCAGAAATTCCAAGCGCCCCAATGGAGTCACTGGGTTTTCGGCTTCCCTGACGTCGCGAGCCCTGTGGATTCAGTGGGATGTCTTGCATTCCTGGCCCTGGGTGGCGCCAGGGCAGGTCAGACCCCCACGCATGCCATTGAAACCCGATGGTTTCTGGGTTTGGCGTTATGTCGGGCATGTCCCTCCACCGGAGGAACATTCAAAAGTAGTAAGACATAGTCCGGGGACGATGTTTGAGTATCGTTTGAATATTTGTGAGCTTTTTTTCTGTATTTTCTATCTTTCGTCCAAAATCCGTCTGTCGGGGGGCATGCCCGACCTAAGTTTAGTAGCGTGCAGAGAATCAACACATCCCAATGTGCTCATAAGGTTTGCGCTTCCCCATGGTCGCGAACCCTGCGAGTTCACTGGGATGTGCTTGGCATTCGGAACCTTGGGGAGTCGCAGAATTTCTTTCTGTCTGGGGGGGGGCATCCCAGGAAGCACAAGCATCGCAGTAACATTACATGTTTTCTGAGATTCGCACCCCGGAGCTCCCACACATCCCCGTGAGATCACCGGGTTGGTCTGGCTGCTCGTGACTGCTGGATGGCTCGCACGCGTTGTGAATCCCCTGCGGGGGAACGCGCCCTTTGCATCTAGAGAGAGGGATAGGGAGGGAGAGGAGAGAGAGAGAGAGAGAGAGAGTGTGTGAAAGAGAGAGAGAGAGAGAGAAAATGCGAAAGGTCTGTGACGGAGAAGCGGGGAACGATACGAGGACGACGCATGCATGAGGAAGAAGGGAAGCGGGCGGATGGATGAGGGAAGGGAGGGCGATACGGGGATACGGGCGAAGAGGTTTAGGAGATGGCGGGAAGCAGGAACGGAGGACAGACAAAGAGGAAGCTGAACAAATGGGGTCGATAAAGAAATGGGGGCGATAACGGGTATGAGCATGAGGGGTGATATGTCGAGGGAGAGCAGGGGTGCGGACGGACCAACCTGCGCTCAGGAAGTCGGTGGGGAATCTGGAAACGTATGAGTAGCAGATTCTGTATGAGCAGGGACAGTGAGAACGGAGAGTAAAGTAGACGCGAACAGCGCGATTCACCGATGGGACATCAAAGGGTGTTTGGGGGAAATGGGGATTGCTTCGCACATATATATATATATACACATACATATAGATCGTATATATATACATATATACACACCGGTGTTTATATTTCATAGTTATACACTCTACACTACGCATGCACATATGTATGCGTTTATATGTACACGTATATATATGTATACATTTACAGATGTAGGGAGAGACAGTGCCATATATATATATATAAATACGTATCTATAACGAGAGAGATAACGAGTGCACGCGATTCGGTGTGCATGCATGGCGGGACTGAAAGGCGGCGGGGGGCAGACATACACGTGTATATATATATATATATAGGTAGATCTGTATTCAATGTCTCTCTCTATGTGTATATTCGTGTATATATATATATATATACACATCGAGAACGAGAGAGAGAGAGAGAGATTGAGAGCGAGAGGGAGGGAGCAAGGGATACAGAGGGAGGGCTACATATATATAATATAAACAAATAGGCCCCCCCCCCCGGCGGGGCCGCCCACTCCGCAACCATCGGGGAACGCTTTTTAATACCCCCTCCCCGGGGCCTCCAAGGAGCCTCCAAGGAGCCTCCAGACGACCCAAGAGGCCTCCAAGACGGCCCCAGGAGGCCCCCAGGATGGTCCAAGAGGGCCCCGAGGCGGTCCCAGATCGCTCCAAGACGCCCAAGATGGTCCCAAGACGGCCCAAGGGGCCTCCAAGACGCCCCAAGAGGCCTCCAAGAGGCTCTCCAAGAGGGCCCCAAGAGGCTCGAATCGTTGATTTTCCATTGTGTTTTTCGATGTTTTTGGCTTTCTCTCCTTTTGGGCTCCCTGGCGCTCCAAGACGGCCAAGAGGCACCCAAGATCGCCCCAAGACGGCCCAAGAGGCCACCAAGACGGCCCCAAGACGGCCCAAGAGCGCCCCGGGACCGCTTAAGAGGCCTCGAAGACGGCCCAAGAGAGTCCCAACACGGCTCCAAGAAGAGTCCCCGGAAAGTTTCAACCGGAATATTTCTGCGAAGAAAGGCATTAGGACTCGCCAGCGCAATGCCAAAGCAGTGCCAACGCAATGCCAAACCAATGCCAAGGCGACCCCAATCCAATGCCAATGCCATGCCGATGGGGGCAATCCTTTGTGGTAGATTCCAATGAGAATCCCCCTGGGGGTGGCAATAGGAACCCTTCTGCGAAGGGAGGCATTGGAACTCGGCAGCGCAATGCCATAGCAGTGCCAAAGCAATGCCAAAGCAGTGTCAAAGCAATGCTGGCGCAATGTCAGCGCAATGCCATTGCGATCTCAAATCCGATGCCTCTGCAATGTCGTTGGGGACGATCCTTTGTGGTAGATTTCAGAAGGAATCCTTTGTGCGGAGGGTTTCAAATTGAATCTCTCTGCGAAGGAAGGCATTTGGACTCGCCAGCGCAATGCTGAAGCTCTGCCAACGCAATGCCAAATCAATGCCAAGGCGGCCCCAATCCAATGCCAATGCTATGCCAATGGGGGCAATCTGTTGTGTTAGGGGTCAATAAGATTCATCCTGGAGGTTTCACTCGTAATCCTTCTGCGACGGGAGGAATTGGAACTCGCCAGCGCAATGCTAGCGCGATGCCAAAAGCAGTGCCAACGCGATGCCAGCGCAATGCCAGTGCGATCCCAAAGCCGATGCCAATGCAATGTCAGATTCAAAGGGGATTATTTCATCGCTTCGCTCATTCCGCCGGCCCATAACGTCGCACCGTGGTCGCCTGTCCGAGTGGTCGTTTGCAGTGTGGAGCTGCGGCGTCGGGAGCTGTAGTGTAGTGTTGGGGGCGTTCTTGGGGCCCTCTTGGGCCGTCCTGGAGGCCTCTCGGGCCGTCTTGGAGCCGTCTTGGGCTGTCTTGGGGCCCTCTTGGGGGCCTCTTGGGCCCTCTTGGGGCGATCTTGGAGGCCTCTTGAGCGGTTTAGGGGCGTCGGGGAACCGAAAAGGTTAAAACGCCCAAATCTGTCCAACACCAAAAGAAAAACACAGGTTTTTGCCTCTTGGGGCCCTCTTGGGAGTTCTCTTGGAGGCCTCTTGGGGCATCTTGGAGGCTTCTTGGGCCATCTTGGAGACGTCTTGGGCCGTCCGGAGGCCATCTTGGGCGTCGTGG